ATCACTCTATCTCAAACAACAAACATCAGATTGGCCTGAAATTTTTTCTACAAGTAGAAGTCATTACCATCTGCCTTCAGAGAAAATTTCAGCTTGATGAGTTGTGCCGTTAATTTAAAAAAAAATAGTGATCGGTTTATTACACAAAAAAGTATAATTATTCCACAACAAACGTAAAACGGGGAAATAACTCTATCTCAAACAACAAACATCAGATTGGCCTGAAATTTTTTCTACAAGTAGATGTCACTACCAACTGCCTTCTGTGAAAATTTCAGCTTGATTTGTTGTGCCGTTAATAAAAAAAAATCGTAATAGATTTATTACACAACAGTAAAACAGGCAAATCGCTCTATCTCTAACCCCAACCTTCAGATTGGCCTGAAATTTTTTCTACAAGTAGAAATTATTGCAAACTCAACCATTATGGAGTAGTCACTACAAAGCGCAAAAAAAAAAAAAAAAAAAAAAAAGTTCAGATTCCCTAACACAGACATCAGATTTCAGGTACTAAGACTCATTGCCGTGTCTCATGGGGAAACTTTGAGCCAGGCTTCCCCTTTTTAATAAGGTAGTTTCTACGCCGATTTTTTTTTCGATTCTAAACCCAATCACCCCGTTTGCAAGCAGGTTGAACGTTACTAAGAACAACCAACAATCCGAGATGGGTTTTAATGTCCTATATGAAGACTGCTTTTCTTTTGTTAAAAATCTTCAATTAATTTTTTCCACAACAAAAGTAAACCGGGGAAATCACTCTATCTCTAACCCCAACCGTCAGATTGGCCTGAAATTTTTTCTACAAGTAGATGTCATTACCAACTGCCTTCTATAAAAATTTCAGCTTGATAAGTTGTGCCGTTAATTTAAAAAAAATAGTGATAAGTTTATTAAACAAAAAAAGTATAATTATTCCACAACAAACGTAAAACGGGGAAATCACTCTATCTCAAACAACAAACATCAGATTGGCCTGAAATTTTTTCTACAAGTAGAGGTCACTACCAACTGCCTTCTGTGAAAATTTCAGCTTGATTTGTTGTGCCGTTAATAAAAAAAAAAATCGTAATAGATTTATTACACAACAGTAAAACAGGCAAATCGCTCTATCTCTAACCCCAACCTTCAGATTGGCCTGAAATTTTTTCTACAAGTAGAAATTATTGCAAACTCAACCATTATGGAGTAGTCACTACAAAGCGCAAAAAAAAAAAAAAAAAAAAAAAAAGTTCGGATTCCCTAACACAGACATCAGATTTCAGGTGCTAAGACTCATTGCCGTGTCTCATGGGGAAACTTTGAGCCAGGCTTCCCCTTTTTAATAAGGTAGTTTCTACGCCGATTTTTTTTTCGATTCTAAACCCAATCACCCCGTTTGCAAGCAGGTTGAACGTTACTAAGAACAACCAACAATCCGAGATGGGTTTTAATGTCCTATATGAAGACTGCTTTTCTTTTGTTAAAAATCTTCAATTAATTTTTTCCACAACAAAAGTAAACCGGGGAAATCACTCTATCTCTAACCCCAACCGTCAGATTGGCCTGAAATTTTTTCTACAAGTAGATGTCATTACCAACTGCCTTCTATAAAAATTTCAGCTTGATAAGTTGTGCCGTTCATTTAAAAAAAAATAGTGATAAGTTTATTAAACAAAAAAAGTATAATTATTCCACAACAAACGTAAAACGGGGAAATCACTCTATCTCAAACAACAAACATCAGATTGGCCTGAAATTTTTTCTACAAGTAGAGGTCACTACCAACTGCCTTCTGTGAAAATTTCAGCTTGATTTGTTGTGCCGTTAATAAAAAAAAAATCGTAATAGATTTATTACACAACAGTAAAACAGGCAAATCGCTCTATCTCTAACCCCAACCTTCAGATTGGCCTGAAATTTTTTCTACAAGTAGAAATTATTGCAAACTCAACCATTATGAAGTAGTCACTACAAAGCGCAAAAAAAAAAAAAAAAAAAAAAAAAGGTCGGATTCCCAAACACAGACATCAGATTTCAGGTGCTAAGACTCATTGCCGTGTCTCATGGGGAAACTTTGAGCCAGGCTTCCCCTTTTTAACAAGGTAGTTTCTACGCCGATTTTTTTTTTCGATTCTAAACCCAATCACCCCGTTTGCAAGCAGGTTGAACGTTACTAAGAACAACCAACAATCCGAGATGGGTTTTAATGTCCTATATGAAGACTGCTTTTCTTTTGTTAAAAATCTTCAATTAATTTTTTCCACAACAAAAGTAAACCGGGGAAATCACTCTATCTCTAACCCCAACCGTCAGATTGGCCTGAAATTTTTTCTACAAGTAGATGTCATTACCAACTGCCTTCTATAAAAATTTCAGCTTGATAAGTTGTGCCGTTAATTTAAAAAAAATAGTGATAAGTTTATTAAACAAAAAAAGTATAATTATTCCACAACAAACGTAAAACGGGGAAATCACTCTATCTCAAACAACAAACATCAGATTGGCCTGAAATTTTTTCTACAAGTAGAGGTCACTACCAACTGCCTTCTGTGAAAATTTCAGCTTGATTTGTTGTGCCGTTAATAAAAAAAAATCGTAATAGATTTATTACACAACAGTAAAACAGGCAAATCGCTCTATCTCTAACCCCAACCTTCAGATTGGCCTGAAATTTTTTCTACAAGTAGAAATTATTGCAAACTCAACCATTATGGAGTAGTCACTACAAAGCGCAAAAAAAAAAAAAAAAAAAAAAGTTCGGATTCCCTAACACAGACATCAGATTTCAGGTGCTAAGACTCATTGCCGTGTCTCATGGGGAAACTTTGAGCCAGGCTTCCCCTTTTTAATAAGGTAGTTTCTACGCCGATTTTTTTTTCGATTCTAAACCCAATCACCCCGTTTGCAAGCAGGTTGAACGTTACTAAGAACAACCAACAATCCGAGATGGGTTTTAATGTCCTATATGAAGACTGCTTTTCTTTTGTTAAAAATCTTCAATTAATTTTTTCCACAACAAAAGTAAACCGGGGAAATCACTCTATCTCTAACCCCAACCGTCAGATTGGCCTGAAATTTTTTCTACAAGTAGATGTCATTACCAACTGCCTTCTATAAAAATTTCAGCTTGATAAGTTGTGCCGTTAATTTAAAAAAATAGTGATAAGTTTATTAAACAAAAAAAGTATAATTATTCCACAACAAACGTAAAACGGGGAAATCACTCTATCTCAAACAACAAACATCAGATTGGCCTGAAATTTTTTCTACAAGTAGAGGTCACTACCAACTGCCTTCTGTGAAAATTTCAGCTTGATTTGTTGTGCCGTTAATAAAAAAAAAATCGTAATAGATTTATTACACAACAGTAAAACAGGCAAATCGCTCTATCTCTAACCCCAACCTTCAGATTGGCCTGAAATTTTTTCTACAAGTAGAAATTATTGCAAACTCAACCATTATGGAGTAGTCACTACAAAGCGCAAAAAAAAAAAAAAAAAAAAAAAAAAGTTCGGATTCCCTAACACAGACATCAGATTTCAGGTCCTAAGACTCATTGCCGTGTCCCATGGGGAAACTTTGAGCCAGGCTTCCCCTTTTTAATAAGGTAGTTTCTACGCCGATTTTTTTTTCGATTCTAAACCCAATCACCCCGTTTGCAAGCAGGTTGAACGTTACTAAGAACAACCAACAATCCGAGATGGGTTTTAATGTCCTATATGAAGACTGCTTTTCTTTTGTTAAAAATCTTCAATTAATTTTTTCCACAACAAAAGTAAACCGGGGAAATCACTCTATCTCTAACCCCAACCGTCAGATTGGCCTGAAATTTTTTCTACAAGTAGATGTCATTACCAACTGCCTTCTATAAAAATTTCAGCTTGATAAGTTGTGCCGTTAATTTTTAAAAAATAGTGATAGGTTTATTACACAAAAAAGTATAATTATTCCACAACAAACGTAAAACGGGGAAATCACTCTATCTCAAACAACAAACATCAGATTGGCCTGAAATTTTGACGTTGGATAACGTCTTTCGGCAACATACGGGGGTACAAAATTGAAAACAGTCATTTTGGATGAGTTACGAAAAATTAAAAGATTTTGAACGATAATAACTCAACCATCTCTCGATAGATTTACGAGATAATGGCATCAATCGATTGGAAATATTTCTAGCAATTTATTGAATGTTTCAAAACTATTGATTTCATTCTGTAAACTATTGAAAAATGGTTAAAAGTAAACCATTGTCTAAAGATGGTGAAAATCGATTGATTTTTTTATATTTTTATACTTTCTCCAACTGAGACATCAGATGCGAGTATCTGACACCTCTGATATTTTCTGTTCTACTATATAAGCGTCCAACAAGGTCGCCCGTTCCATCATTGTGTATCCGATCGTCGACCCAGCAGCAGAGCAGCAGAGCAGCAGAGCAGCAGTACCAGAGCAGCGGAAGTAGAGCAACGGCAGCAGAGCCTGGGGGCGAAAGGGCAACTACGCCTAGTGCGTTGGTGCCAGTGCTCCGGTATACTGGGCCGCCGTCATGGAATGCCCAGCTGCTGCAGTTCTCAGTCGGTCGTATTCACCGGGCAACTACGCCGAGCGCGTTGGAAAAATGGCCCTTTTCAGGGCCACAACATTATCAAGAAAGAGTTTAACGATTAATTTTCTTATGCCTTTCCGACACTTTTTTCATGACTTTCATCGGCCTCCTGATATTCATGTGATTTTGTGGTGGGATTTTTAGCTATGTGAAATTCACATGGTTTTCATCCATTAGATACCTATGTGGTAAATTTTTTGAGTGTGCTTCGGCAATCAAAATAAAGTTTGCACGATGGAAGCGCACATCGTAAATTTCGTTCATTTTAGTAATAATTAAATCGCCCCTCTCCCCCTACCCTCTGGCAGTACATGAAAAGCCTTTTTGTGAGGGGAATTTTTCAAAAGGATGCCGAATAAAATAATGGGTATCTATATGAACGCGTCGTTGAGACGGTACTGATGGATATTTTAGGGCGCTATTGAAAATTTAGTCGATTGATTGGATGGAATGATAACACTGCACTGGTTAATTTCTTGGAATTCAAGACACGCCTACACTAATCAACCATCATCGAACTTACTCGATGAGGATATCAATTAACTAGGGAGAGCATGACAGAAAGATTCAACCATGTTTTTAATGGATTCATTTTATCATTCCTTGCGCACCACGAAGGAAACTGTTTTGAAAACGAAACTCTTTACCATCAAATTGGTCGTCCTGAAAAGGACGGATTTTGTTAAAGGGTGGGAACTTCGATCGAATTTAGGCCTTCTTTTCGGTCTTCTTGGGCAACAGGACGGCCTGGATGTTTGGCAGGACACCACCCTGAGCGATGGTCACTCCGGAAAGAAGTTTGTTCAGCTCTTCGTCGTTGCGGATGGCCAACTGCAGGTGACGTGGGATAATTCGGGTTTTCTTGTTGTCACGAGCGGCATTTCCTGCCAACTCGAGAACTTCAGCGGCCAGATACTCCATCACGGCAGCCAGGTAGACGGGAGCACCGGCTCCAACACGCTCGGCATAGTTGCCCTTTCGGAGTAGACGGTGAATACGACCGACTGGAAACTGCAATCCAGCGCGGCTCGAACGGGACTTTGCCTTTCCCTTGACTTTGCCTCCTTTTCCACGTCCAGCCATAATGCGAACGACACGAACAGTTCGATGCTGAAACTGTAATGATGACATTTCGACCGTCGACGGTGGTTTTATACCTGCGTCGAGTAGCATATTATGAATACAGGGACGGTACAATAAACACTGTGGGTAGCAAAATACTGAAAATGGGATGAGTGTCGGTTGTCTCTACGGGCATGAAACGAGACAGCGTTGCCAGTATTCCTGATTTATTTGATTTTCCAGATTTTCAATCGTCTTGCCAGATACTTACCCAGATATCACTTATATGTTATTACGTTTATTTCAAGAATTTTTAATTATGTTCCAGATTTTCCCAGATTTTTTAAATATGTTGCTTTAGAGAATGTCCAGCCCAAAACGAAAACCGGTTGGACATGAGCGTTTCCGAATTCAGTCCAATAGAGGCGATGGGGGCAAGAAGACCATACGGGGCGAGATGGGCCACCGTTCGTTTGGGCATAATACCTATTAACTCAATCTATTTTTTTTACAAACTTGTTGAAAATGCTTCTAATATGCATCTCCATGAAAACCGTATCAAAATTCAATTACATGTCTAAGATAATAATGGAAATGTAACATTAGCTCAAAATCTCTAGAATATTATAAGATATGCAGTCAAGAAAACAAGCATCGCATTTACTATATTACATTTTACTGATCCGCTGGTTCTACAGCGAGCAATACACGTAACTGTTGCTAAAAGAACTTATGTTTCTATTTCACTTGATTCCTGCATGTTATTTTCTAGTGAAAACCTGTCAAAACCTTAACTTTTACTAGGGTGCTCATATTGCCCCGTATGGTTGTTGATCGGAGCAAAAACTGAATTTTTTCAAACATAATCATTTATTCAGTCTATCATTACAAAACCACAACCAAAACGGCCCTTTTCAGGGCCACCAATAATTCGACAAAGAGTTAGTTTTGAAGACAATTTCTATCCAGAATATCACAGTTACACTTAAATTTGGGGACTATACTGGGGTGTGGGAACGCTGGAAGGGGAGATGCTGTCTGTCTTCGAACTACCAACATCATTCCAAGGCGACAGAGTAGAGCAAACCCAACAACATCAGCCCAACAAAACGGCCCTTTTCAGCCACCAAACTTTCGCAAAAGATTTATTAAGGAATATTCCTAAAATCTAATATACACAATTAAATACAACACATAACAGACGTTATCCAACGCCAACCCTGCGGTCGTATCTAGTATACAACCCTTCCAACTTTTTTCTACAAGTAGAAGTCATTACCAACTGCCTTCTGTGAAAATTTCAGCTTGATGAGTTGTGCCGTTAATTTTTAAGAAAAAGTGATAGGTTTATTACACAAAAAAGTATAATTATTCCACAACAAACGTAAAACGGGGAAATCACTCTATCTCAAACAACAAACATCAGATTGGCCTGAAATTTTTTCTACAAGTAGAAGTCATTACCATCTGCCTTCAGAGAAAATTTCAGCTTGATGAGTTGTGCCGTTAATTTAAAAAAAAATAGTGATCGGTTTATTACACAAAAAAGTATAATTATTCCACAACAAACGTAAAACGGGGAAATAACTCTATCTCAAACAACAAACATCAGATTGGCCTGAAATTTTTTCTACAAGTAGATGTCACTACCAACTGCCTTCTGTGAAAATTTCAGCTTGATTTGTTGTGCCGTTAATAAAAAAAAAATCGTAATAGATTTATTACACAACAGTAAAACAGGCAAATCGCTCTATCTCTAACCCCAACCTTCAGATTGGCCTGAAATTTTTTCTACAAGTAGAAATTATTGCAAACTCAACCATTATGGAGTAGTCACTACAAAGCGCAAAAAAAAAAAAAAAAAAAAAAGTTCGGATTCCCTAACACAGACATCAGATTTCAGGTGCTAAGACTCATTGCCGTGTCTCATGGGGAAACTTTGAGCCAGGCTTCCCCTTTTTAATAAGGTAGTTTCTACGCCGATTTTTTTTTCGATTCTAAACCCAATCACCCCGTTTGCAAGCAGGTTGAACGTTACTAAGAACAACCAACAATCCGAGATGGGTTTTAATGTCCTATATGAAGACTGCTTTTCTTTTGTTAAAAATCTTCAATTAATTTTTTCCACAACAAAAGTAAACCGGGGAAATCACTCTATCTCTAACCCCAACCGTCAGATTGGCCTGAAATTTTTTCTACAAGTAGATGTCATTACCAACTGCCTTCTATAAAAATTTCAGCTTGATAAGTTGTGCCGTTAATTTAAAAAAAATAGTGATAAGTTTATTAAACAAAAAAAGTATAATTATTCCACAACAAACGTAAAACGGGGAAATCACTCTATCTCAAACAACAAACATCAGATTGGCCTGAAATTTTTTCTACAAGTAGAGGTCACTACCAACTGCCTTCTGTGAAAATTTCAGCTTGATTTGTTGTGCCGTTAATAAAAAAAAAATCGTAATAGATTTATTACACAACAGTAAAACAGGCAAATCGCTCTATCTCTAACCCCAACCTTCAGATTGGCCTGAAATTTTTTCTACAAGTAGAAATTATTGCAAACTCAACCATTATGGAGTAGTCACTACAAAGCGCAAAAAAAAAAAAAAAAAAAAGTTCGGATTCCCTAACACAGACATCAGATTTCAGGTGCTAAGACTCATTGCCGTGTCTCATGGGGAAACTTTGAGCCAGGCTTCCCCTTTTTAACAAGGTAGTTTCTACGCCGATTTTTTTTTTTCGATTCTAAACCCAATCACCCCGTTTGCAAGCAGGTTGAACGTTACTAAGAACAACCAACAATCCGAGATGGGTTTTAATGTCCTATATGAAGACTGCTTTTCTTTTGTTAAAAATCTTCAATTAATTTTTTCCACAACAAAAGTAAACCGGGGAAATCACTCTATCTCTAACCCCAACCGTCAGATTGGCCTGAAATTTTTTCTACAAGTAGATGTCATTACCAACTGCCTTCTATAAAAATTTCAGCTTGATAAGTTGTGCCGTTAATTTAAAAAAAATAGTGATAAGTTTATTAAACAAAAAAAGTATAATTATTCCACAACAAACGTAAAACGGGGAAATCACTCTATCTCAAACAACAAACATCAGATTGGCCTGAAATTTTTTCTACAAGTAGAGGTCACTACCAACTGCCTTCTGTGAAAATTTCAGCTTGATTTGTTGTGCCGTTAATAAAAAAAAAATCGTAATAGATTTATTACACAACAGTAAAACAGGCAAATCGCTCTATCTCTAACCCCAACCTTCAGATTGGCCTGAAATTTTTTCTACAAGTAGAAATTATTGCAAACTCAACCATTATGGAGTAGTCACTACAAAGCGCAAAAAAAAAAAAAAAAAAAAAAAAAAAAGTTCGGATTCCCTAACACAGACATCAGATTTCAGGTGCTAAGACTCATTGCCGTGTCTCATGGGGAAACTTTGAGCCAGGCTTCCCCTTTTTAATAAGGTAGTTTCTACGCCGATTTTTTTTTCGATTCTAAACCCAATCACCCCGTTTGCAAGCAGGTTGAACGTTACTAAGAACAACCAACAATCCGAGATGGGTTTTAATGTCCTATATGAAGACTGCTTTTCTTTTGTTAAAAATCTTCAATTAATTTTTTCCACAACAAAAGTAAACCGGGGAAATCACTCTATCTCTAACCCCAACCGTCAGATTGGCCTGAAATTTTTTCTACAAGTAGATGTCATTACCAACTGCCTTCTATAAAAATTTCAGCTTGATAAGTTGTGCCGTTAATTTTTAAAAAATAGTGATAAGTTTATTAAACAAAAAAAGTATAATTATTCCACAACAAACGTAAAACGGGGAAATCACTCTATCTCAAACAACAAACATCAGATTGGCCTGAAATTTTTTCTACAAGTAGAGGTCACTACCAACTGCCTTCTGTGAAAATTTCAGCTTGATTTGTTGTGCCGTTAATAAAAAAAAAATCGTAATAGATTTATTACACAACAGTAAAACAGGCAAATCGCTCTATCTCTAACCCCAACCTTCAGATTGGCCTGAAATTTTTTCTACAAGTAGAAATTATTGCAAACTCAACCATTATGGAGTAGTCACTACAAAGCGCAAAAAAAAAAAAAAAAAAAAAAAAAAGTTCGGATTCCCTAACACAGACATCAGATTTCAGGTGCTAAGACTCATTGCCGTGTCTCATGGGGAAACTTTGAGCCAGGCTTCCCCTTTTTAATAAGGTAGTTTCTACGCCGATTTTTTTTTCGATTCTAAACCCAATCACCCCGTTTGCAAGCAGGTTGAACGTTACTAAGAACAACCAACAATCCGAGATGGGTTTTAATGTCCTATATGAAGACTGCTTTTCTTTTGTTAAAAATCTTCAATTAATTTTTTCCACAACAAAAGTAAACCGGGGAAATCACTCTATCTCTAACCCCAACCGTCAGATTGGCCTGAAATTTTTTCTACAAGTAGATGTCATTACCAACTGCCTTCTATAAAAATTTCAGCTTGATAAGTTGTGCCGTTAATTTTTAAAAAATAGTGATAAGTTTATTAAACAAAAAAAGTTTAATTATTCCACAACAAACGTAAAACTGGGAAATCACTCTATCTCAAACAACAAACATCAGATTGGCCTGAAATTTTTTCTACAAGTAGAAGTCATTACCAACTGCCTTCTGTGAAAATTTCAGCTTGATGAGATGTGCCGTTAATTTAAAAAAAATAGTGATAGGTTTATTACACAAAAAAGTATAATTATTCCACAACAAACGTAAAACGGGGAAATCACTCTATCTCAAACAACAAACATCAGATTGGCCTGAAATTTTTTCTACAAGTAGAAGTCATTATCAACTGCCTGCTGTGAAAATTTCAGCTTGATGAGTTGTGCCGTTAGTTTTTAAAAAATTGTGATAGGTTTATTACACAAAAAAGTATAATTATTCCACAACAAACGTAAAACGGGGAAATCACTCTATCTCAAACAACAAACATCAGATTGGCCTGAAATTTTTTCTACAAGTAGAAGTCATTACCAACTGCCTTCTGTGAAAATTTCAGCTTGATGAGTTGTGCCGTTAATTTTTAAGAAATAGTTATAGGTTTATTACACAAAAAAGTATAATTATTCCACAACAAACGTAAACCGGGGAAATCACTCTATCTCTAACCCCAACCGTCAGATTGGCCTGAAATTTTTTCTACAAGTAGATGTCATTACCAACTGCCTTCTATAAAAATTTCAGCTTGATAAGTTGTGCCGTTAATTTTTAAAAAATAGTGATAGGTTTATTACACCAAAAAGTATAATTATTCCACAACAAACGTAAAACGGGGAAATCACTCTATCTCAAACAACAAACATCAGATTGGCCTGAAATTTTTTCTACAAGTAGAAGTCATTACCAACTGCCTTCTGTGAAAATTTCAGCTTGATGAGTTGTGCCGTTAATTTTTAAGAAAAAGTGATAGGTTTATTACACAAAAAAGTATAATTATTCCACAACAAACGTAAAACGGGGAAATCACTCTATCTCAAACAACAAACATCAGATTGGCCTGAAATTTTTTCTACAAGTAGAAGTCATTACCATCTGCCTTCAGAGAAAATTTCAGCTTGATGAGTTGTGCCGTTAATTTAAAAAAAATAGTGATCGGTTTAT